CTATTTGCAGACACATCCACCAGAAGGCTGTGATTTTGATCATGTTAGATCAGTAACATGTGGCTACTTTACCTGCTTGAAAGATTTGGTATTATGTCTCTATTCTTAGTAGTGATGTACTTTAAAAGACTCATAATCACAGCAGTTAAATGTGGACCAGTAGTAGTAGGTACTATTGGTGATTAATTTGAACTGTAACAGTCAAAGACACCTCTAAAATTTCCATTTGGGAAACTATTCTACACCCCATATCCTCAACTCTCAGAATGATCATCCTCGTAATCAACCAACATGTTGCCTTTCATAAATATCTTCTATTACTCCCACATGCATTTTCAAAATTATACTTGCAACTATACCTTTTTTTTTTTTTTTTTTGGTACTTCTGGCAAAGTTCATCCTTTTGATGCAAAGGAAAACTAGCAAAAAATGAAACTCTATATTCCCTATATTGCTTGCAAAACATATACTGCGAATTTTAACCTGACTTGGCTTCTTGTCTGTGGCTCAGATACAGCCTAGAATATTATTCTGGTTTGCTCTTCCTTTTCTGTAGAAATAATGATAGCATGTCTGCTTAAATAAATATGCTTTGTGACAGATAGGATTATTATCAGCCTAATGAATGACATAATGCATTTCTTCTCTTTCAATCGAGGCTCCTTTTCTTTTACTTTGTGAATTTTTGCTGTATACTGCCTGAAACAATTTTACATTCCAAATCTCTCCTAAAGGTTGATGCTCACCTTTGCTCACTGAAACTCTCTTTTAGACCAAACAACTATCTGATAACAATTTGTATGTACAGCTATTGATAAAAAGGCTCCTGTATTCAAAAAGGAATGTGTGACACTCCAAAAATGACTAGGCAGAAGAAAATGTAGTCTATTATTCCATTTAGCTTTTTATATCATATTGATAACTTTTAATGTGATAGAGCAGATGTCCATGCATTTTGTTAATTATTTTAAGAATAAAAATTCTATTTTCCTGTGTAATTCACATAAGATCTTAACAAATTATGGTTAGGTAGTTTAATTGGCTCAATTGCTGAGCAGGAGGAGCAGCAAGAGCAGCCTGCAGTTTGCCTGACCCTTTTCTATCAGATTGAAGTATTATTAAGTGCTGTACTATATTAAGCTTCATGTGGAAAAAAGCACAATCTGTTCTTTTTAAGCTTCTTAATAGTTTCTAGTACTGATTCATGGGAAGTGGAACTAACAGATTGTTATAGTTAGATTGTAGGTGGGGATACATATGCTTGAGTTTTGAACAAAATTCCAGCTCTGAAGCACAAATAAGTTTTTTGCATGATGATGTAATTGATTTTTCTTTTTTTTTTTAAACATGCTGTACCATATGGGAGTAGCTTTTGAACTGGGTTTAGGGTCAGACATTCAGGTGGACAACATGCAGGATTCAGGATGGTGTTTTAAAAGAACCCAGGGGCCAGTTGTCCCCATGAGAATATTTTACAAAAGACATTAACTGCTAGCAGATCTGATTACACCACAGACAGACAAACTTTCAAGGGGACAGGAACATCCACTAAAAAATTGTGATACCTTCTCCAGCAGAACCAGTTACAAATAGAGATATCTGTTTCCAAATGCTGAAAAGCATTTGGTGGGGGAAGAGGAGATGAATATAAATTGGCCATACATGAGCTTCAGCTTGTATTGTTTGCCAAGTCTTTTCTGCTGAACTGGAACTGGACAAGAAAAAGTAAACCTTCTGTTTAATGTTTCCTTAGGATCTTTAAATTTAGAGGTGGAACCAAATAGCTGAATGGATAAATTCCCAGTATGTAGGCAATTTTCAGCACAGGGTACTTACAGAAGATGTTGCTTTGTTTCCAGTTTAGGAGTTCTGAATTAATTTTCACTTGGAAGTGAAACTAAAAAACTCCTTCTCAGAGTAGGGCTGCATAAGACATCACCATTGTCCATCCACGTGTGCAAATCCTGAAGTCCCTATATCCTTCTTCCAATGTCATAGACCTGGCTGAACAATGGGAACTGCCCCATCAGCAAAAACTTGCTCTTGCTGTGGCAATTTTGACAGTACTACTACGGGTATGCCACAGTACAAGAATGAAATGTCCATGAGGAGGCCAGTTCTATACATAAAGCATGGAGATCCTCTTCCACTGTGAACCTCACATCTCATCCTCAGGGAAACAATATAACCTAACTTACCATTTTCCCACCCTCATTCTCTCAATGCTACATGTATATGTTCACGCACATACAGGTTTTATTCAGGAAGAAAGATATCCCCACAGTATAGCTCAAACTAAATATATGTACCTCATCAAACCTCTTGCACAACAGGAGAATTCACTATGAATAATTAATCAAGTAGAGTTTAATCAGCAAGACAAGAGTACCACTGGTGTATTTGCATGAGTGTCTTGAAGCAATACTGCTTTGTGTTTTCATCAAATCTTCCTTGAGGTCATGTCATAGAGCTGTAGTTTCCCCAGTTTGAGAGTTCAGTCACTCTCACATTTGGACTACGAGGATGTTTCTCTTCCAAATGTTGAGAACCTAACACATTGCTAAGTACCCTTGGAAGTTTCACATATTTCCTGTGATTTTGGATGGCACATAAATTTTTTTTTGGTTTCACAAAATCTCCCTGTCTTCATACTTGATGAAATCACGATGTTTGTGCCAGAGCAGACTTTATTTGTTTGGAAAAGAACTAATGCACTTCACACTCATTGGAAGACCTACAATTTTTCAGTACTGTAATTACACCTACTCTCAGCTTTATTGCAAGCCTCAGGATAACAGTTTGTATGCTTATAACACTTTCAAACCAAGACTGCAGTATGTGGAACATTGAAGTTATATAGTTCTGTAATTCAATTAGATCTGGCCAGAAATTTTCTATTGAGAGTTTTTTAACAGAAGATGAGGTCTTCGGAATTTCAATCTCTTTGAGATACTCTATAGAACAGTTTTTCCTCAGACTTTCACCTTTTATTGCAAAGATTAATAGGGTCTCTTTTTCCTTTTTGTTTTATATTAGGAAAAGTGAAACAGAACATTTAATGTTAATCCAGATTGACCTAAATGAGAATAATTTTAAACAAGGTAGTGCATTGCCTGTCAGCTTAATTTTATTTTAGAAGGCCTCAGAGCCTGCTGGGAGTTAAATATGACTGACCCCCATTTTTCCTTCAGACTAACTTTGGAGGCTATAATACATATTTCATGAGACACTACGTTTATGACCTCTGGCTGAACTGCTTCAGCATCTCATGAGAATCACTTGATGCTCATGTATCACAGGAAACAGTTTGCCCTAAGGGCATGACACGTGGGGAAACACTGTGCACCTGATATAAAACTCACAGGAAGCACCGCAACAACTCAGTTTAAAAACCCAATGGCATTTTGTGCAGGCACAATTTACATAGTAATATGTTTTCCATTAGGCCTAATCACAGCAGGGAGGAAAATGAAAGTCCTAATAGTTAAGGAGATCTGCATTCAGGTTGCCATTCAGGTTGGATGCAATTTGGAAATTTAATGGTCTCAAAGTCTCAGTGATTCATTCCTGATGTGAAAAGAAGATAATGTTATTTCTTGTCTTCTGCTCTTTGTCTCTTTTGGCTATTCGGATGGTAAGATCCTCAAACTGAAGACTGTATTTACATTCATGTTCAGTGCTGAGCATAGCAAAGCCTCTGAGCTTTAGCACCAGTGATAGGGATGAATCCCCAGATGGGTAAGCTGAATGTCTGATGGCTCCAATGTCTAAAGTCAAAAAATCCACAGTCCAAATCCACATGCCTGATTCTCAGTGCTTCACATGCATTTTCATTGTCAATGCTCCTATGTACTTGCAACTACATTCGTAAGAGAGAGCATTTTTCTTATAGATTCTTCCATTTGTGAGCTAGCAAATATGTGAAGGATCAGAAGTTCCTTTCAATGGCATCACTACACTCACAGTTTTATTAATTTATTTACTGATTATGTTTCTGTGGACTATTACTGAGGGGTTAAGACAATATTTTTGAGAAAGATTTCCTAACTCTAAGGTCTCCTTATTTAAATGAGATATGAAACAGATTTCAACAGCCAGATGGAGAAGCACAGGGAACCAGAGATACAATCCTGGTCAGGAGGACTGTCAGTGGTATCAGTATATCCACTGTTAAAGCACTATGACTTTGTTGTAGGCCTGGCAGTAAAGAAAGTTTCTGTGATGATACAGAATAAAGAAAATAAATGTATCTGTCTGTTAATATCTGTTACCAGCTTATCCCCATAGAGGAAGAATAGATTAAAAAAATATGAAGTGTTTCCCATTGATAGACATTTAATTCAAAACAAACAAACAAAAAATACCCCCAGAAAAACCACCAAAAACGCATTTAGTTCATCTGTGGTCTTGTGATCCCTGTAATGCTAATCCTCAGTTTTGTCACTCATTGTCCAGCAGTTCTTCTTTCAAAAAAAAGTTTTGAAGGAATATAACTAAACTATAACTAAGAAACTATAACTAAAAAAATGTTGCATTTCAGATTGCATTATGTACAAGTTGATGTTATTCTCCTTTTATTTTTTGCTTATATTTAAAATATTACACCTAAAAATTATTATCAACATATATTTTTTAATTTCCTGAAGTAAACCCCAGAGCACTTGACCAAGTTTACTCATGTTAAGAGAATCAGAAGAGATTGTAATTTATACATACATTGTTTTACATATTGTGGAGCAGATCCTCACAGGTAGTGAGGCACTTAACAGCCTTTGGTTTCAGCAGAGATGTAGGCTCTTAAAGAGAAGTGCCTTTTCTAGGAAAATTCGTTGATCTTGTTTAGAAAAATGGAGTAATTAAAATGTTAATGTGATTTTGTTAAGATTGGTACAGTGATCTCTGTGCAGATATGTAACACACTCTTTAAAATATCTGATGTTTCTGAAGGAAAAGCTGCTTCAAATTTTAATATATGCATCTATGTTTTTGCTCGTATTTAGGAAACTATGGCGAAAGTGGAATGGAAGCTTTCAAAGATATGGCAGCCAAGGAAGGGATTTGCATTGCACATTCCTACAAGATCTATAGCAATGCTGGTGAACAGAGCTTTGACAAGCTACTGCGAAAGCTTCGGAGCCACCTGCCCAAGGCAAGAGTGGTTGCTTGCTTCTGTGAAGGCATGACTGTGAGAGGTCTCTTAATGGCTATGAGGCGCCTGGGACTTGCTGGAGAATTTTTGCTGCTGGGCAGGTGAGTAATACCATGCAATTATGCCAGCCTTTTTAATGAGTAGGGGAAAAAGAAGAAGACAAACTGGTCGAGTATACCTAAAGCATGTACTCGTGGTCTCTCCTATACCTGTGCATATCTAAAAAAGAGAAAGACTGTCAGTTGGGTCATAGCGGTACATATTCTATAAAGACGTGTCATTCTTATAACATGCCAGGCAACCACAAGTCTGCTTGTCCAGTCTAAACAGCTTCGTGTAAGGGAAGGCTGACACATAAACCTTTGATTTATATCACCCACTTTGTTCACTGCAGTTTAAAATGTATCATGTGCATATACAGCCTGAAGCTATGTCTCATTCAAGTAACTCTGTGTTAAGAATTGCTGATGTGGCCTCTGGCTGGACCTGAAATAGATCTTCCCAAAACAAAGAGAAACCTTTCCTTTCTGAGACAATGTGCTGACATATGCATACTGTCCTAAAGGCAATATGTAGGTAATCCTTTCTCTTAGCTCAATGATATCAGTGTTTCCTTTCTGAACCACCAAAGGGAAAAAGGAAAACTCGCTCAGATGTGTTCACCGGAAGGAAAAGACCCTGGGCTAGTAATTACTAGAAAAGTAATGATGCTGATGTAAACCTAATGAGATCTTTACACTTACCCCTTATTCAACAAGTGGATCCTAAATGAGACTGGAAAAATGGTGTTTTGAGCACAAAATGGAGTATACCAGGAGTCAACTAATGTAGTGCACTGCCTTTTCAGTACATTATTAGAAGGATGATCTCATGCTGTCCTAAGCATGAACTCTACAGGAACACATGTAAAATGGTGTCTGTGAAACCAGAAGTTCTAGTGAGAGCTTCAGAAAAACTTTCAAGGACTGTGTTGACAGCTGAGATACTGAGTCCCACTAACTGGCAGGACACTAGCCTCTGTTTCCAATCTGACCTGTTGCACACAGATGTCCTTTCCCCTTGGGAAAGGACAGGCAACAGGCAACAATAGTGTCTTTTGTCTCTGCCCTTCCTCTTTATGATCAGCCTACATTTTGACATTTTCAGGCGTGAATGTCTTAATTTTTTCTCTAATTTATGGCAACTGTCTCCTTCCAAATACATTTTATCTGTAGGTCCTTCCATGGACTATCTTGGTCCTTTTCTGGACTGACACCTAAAGGGACTACAGTTCTCAAGGTGAGGTTCACTTAAACATTTTTAGATGTCTGCAATTTAGACAACTCATTGTAGCCATCAGGGTTGTCTCTATAGTCAACGGAGGAAAAAAAAGACCTTCTTTGGCCACTTTTTTGTAATGTGGACATTTTCAGTAGCACAGAGAAATCGTGTTATAGAAAAGGACTAGTACAAAGACTCTCTTTTTGACTAGCTTTGGTGGAAAAGCCTACTTGTAACTTTTTATAGCAGATTGGAGCAAATGTCGCCTCTGTTATCTCTAGCTGAATCTGGTACCACAAGACCTTTGCTGTCTACTTTTGTCCTAAATACAAATTGCCAACTCTCTGCACCAGCATTCAAATGTAGAAGCACATAAGCATCATTTTTAAAAAATATGTTGAACCTGAACTGCTCCAGACTCCAAACAACACTTATTTTTGTATGGTATTTGTTTATATACAGCAGTGCTAAATTTAGCCCTTGAGATGCTTTTATGAATAAGGACTTCAGGAATTACAGATTGTGAATAAGAGTTTTTTTAATTGTTGTTTGGGTTTTTTTCATGGCTGCAGTGTGAGTTGTCATGAGTAATTATAAGAAAGTTGTTATTCAGTATATGACTTTCATTCAGTAAACTGAAAGTGAGATCCTCTCTTAGAAATCTAAACTGTAAAGTCTTTCAAGTCAAAACAAAAATCCTTAATTCTACCAGACCATTCTGGGTGTATCCATACCTGTGGCTGTGCTGTACAATTTAATTGTGAAAAATGTAGTATGAACTGGAAGTGTTTACAAAGAAAGAAAAAGTGCAGGCATTTTTTCTATCCTTTCTATTTATTCACAGAGGTTCCAAGGTAGTGGCTGAGAAGTGACTACTCAGCCATGGATTAATAAGTCTCCAGCCAGTAGCTGCTAGGGACAGGTGTAAACTAATGGCACTAACCATCATCCAACCAAAGCATTCCTGTGTCTGCATCAGACAAGGAGGGGTACAGTCTCTCTAGATGTGGCTCTGCACTTCAGAGATCCCAAGGATGTTGGAGCCTCCTGTATCTTTTCAATAGATTTGGTTCCAAATTGGTATTAAAAAAAATCCACAACAAAAAAAACAACTCCCACATCCCCACAAAAAAACCCCAAACTAACTAGTTTTGCCTACTGAGGACTTTTGTTTGTCTTTGAGCTACCCTTTGTCAGTATAGCAGAGTGTTTTCTGTATTTGCTGTGCAGCAAGAATCATGCATAGAGCGTGGGAAGGTGGCTATGTTCCACAAAAATGTTCATTCCTACAAACATGTTTTCTTCCACTATGGGCTAATCTCTAGGCTTTGCAACAGAGGCAAAAGAAAAAAGCAAAGAAAAAACAGGGAACTTGCAAGAAGGCTTCTTGTGGTAAATATAATGCAAGACAATAATGTCATTGTCCATTGATGGCCTAAGTTCCTGTAGGGATTTAAAGCTCCATTTTCCAGGACTTTGATGTGCTGTGTGGTCTCTTGTTTTCAGCTGTTTGGCTCTGTTGGCTGTGAATATTTAACTGTTGGTCCAGAGCTAGGGTTTTTGAGTGGTTCCTTAGACAATAGTGTAAGGCACTGACATGAGATGGATGCGACACCAGTACTAACCCAGATCTTATAAGCAGATTGTGTTGGGGACCTTTTTGTACATCATTCATATAGGGGGGAAAGATATTTAGCAAGATTTTGAAAATAGTTCAGAGAACTCTAAGGGGAAAGAACTACATCTGAAATTAAAGAAGGCTCATGAAACTAATCTCTCTTGTGAAGCTATGTGGAAAATGAACTAGGATAAGATTTATACTTTTATTCATCGTCTGATCCTGGAGTTGCTCTGGACTGACCATTCAACTGAGAAGGTTGTGAAAGGACACTCCAAGAGTAGTGAAAGTGCCTGTCACTGGAATGTCATGGGCTTACAAGAAAAACCTCCATCTACTAATGAATTTTTTTTTACACCACAAATGCATTTTGCTTACCCCTTGTTTTATTAAGTGAAGAATTATTTTGTTTCATTTCCAAATGCACAGAAAGAACTAGTCCCAAAACTACACAGTAGCTTTATGGGAATCCACAAGAAAACAACATTTCCACTTCCTCTTGGTTTTTTTTGTTCCATTTTTGATTTGTATTCACCCCTGGTATCTCCAGTCTGAAGTCTTTCAAAAATTTTGGGATTTTTGAAAGCTGTGGATTCCTCACAGCACCTGTTTTATACTGAGATAAACAGAAAATGGAGTTCCCAAGGAGAGTACACATCAGATAAATTATGCCATACAGCCCCAAGGGGAGGAAAAAGATATTCTTCAACAAACACTTCACTCATGACGTACTATGCAGTTTCTGAAATTGCATTGCCTGCCTGTGACAGAGATGAAAGATGGCAAGTCATTAGTGATTGTAGCATTCTAGAGCTTTTTTATTCATGGAAAACATTTTAAATGCTCAGCATATATTTACCTCATGCACCTTGAGGAATTGGACTTAACCTCAAATAAAAAGGTGAGTGTGTTGACTTTTAAGTTTAAAAAAATGTTATTTTAACTTAACTGTTATTTAACTTAATTGAGTTCAGCTAGGCTTCACCTGTTTGTCCTTATTGCATCTGTCATCCGTAGGGCATATGCCAGGAGATACCCTCATAGATAAAATTCATTAGAGAATAAATAATATATTCACGTGCCAGAATAACTTTGGAACAGATTTCTGAAGGAAATAGGAGTATTAATTGTGTAGGTAAAACCAGTTTGGTTGTATGTGATTTTCAGCTGTTCCTCATTTTATGTAACGTTCAGACCCAATAGCTGACATTTTCTTTCATGTTGTACACTCACTTTCACCCTGCTCCTCTTGACTACTAGTTTCTGATATTTGGAAAAAACCTTTGTGGTAACTCTCTACAGTGATATTTTTTTCTGATACCTTTCATCTGCAAGTATTCCAAAACACCTCTCGGAATAACTAGGCATTTTAATGCTAAGTCACATGATTTTTCATAATAAAATGGAAACTATCAGCTGCAACTGAAATTATGAGTATTGACTGTAGCTGTCCTAAATAAAATGGGTTCAGAGAACAGTACCATAGTACTTGATAATTTTATTCTTTCTTTTTGCTTGCTGGCATTATTTTATCTTACATCAACTAACACTTTTGGGATGGGACTCAGGTATGGCAGTGGTGACAGCAGTTGAGGATTGTTACTAAGTCGCAGTTGGGACATACATATTCTGTTTTGGGGTAGAAGAACGTTGAGATACATGGATAAAGGCATTGCATACTTTTTACCTTTAGACAAGAGAATTTCCCTTGATTTATTTATTATTATGATATAGTTATTGTACAAAACTAAAGAGCAAAAGACAGAAGTTTTGCAAAGAATTTGTGATTCCAAGTGCAAGACAATGAGACTTTTCCTACCTAAAGGAGAGGAGAAGGGAAAGGACGAGGGCATTGGAATTGTCAGGCATTGGAACAGGCTGCTCAGGGAAGTGCTCCCTGAAAGTGTTTCTGGGTTAACAGTTGGACTTAATAATCCTAGAGGTCTTTTTCAATCTCAGTGATTCTATGATTCTAAAGGGAAAATAGAGGTATAAAGAGACAAAAATGGCTTGCTCAATGTCTCTAGCTTCCAAATGACGTTCCATTGGCAGTACTGATCTTCAAGATATTACTGGGACATCCATCTGCTTCATACATTCATATACGCATATGACGTGTCAGATTTACTATGTTATTAAATGCCATGTGTGATTAAAAAAAAGTTAATTAAGATTATCTGGACTTCCCTTTGTATTAAATGACATAGTTATACACAACGAATG